GTTAATTCAATCACTGAATCAGGTGTGTTGGAGCAGGGAAAAACATAAAACCTGCAGGGCTGCAGCCCTTGAGGACCAGGATTGCCCACCCCTGCTCTAAACTTTGAATAAATTGCGCCCTCGACTTACAAAACATATAATTTGTGTGCCGAAGCTCATAAAAATCAGCTGCAGGTGTGTGAGTGACGTTTTGTTTACCTGCGTATCCGCCTGGGTGAATCCGGCAGGTTCATGTCCAGAGTCCCCAGCAGCAGATTAATGTAGTGGATCCACAGGTCTATGCTCAGAGGAATCCCCTGCAGACCCCGAATACACACCTAACACAGCCGTGGACGCTCACTGATTAATGTCAGTGAAAAACACACTTATAATGAGAAGCGTAAGAGAAATGTAAAGCCATCCTGGTTCACCTCTTCTGCTTTATCGTTGGAACCGGCACGGCGCTCCAAGTCTGCAAATTTTTTCCAGTAACCGTAGCAAAGTGGGTAACGAGTAAGAAAGGCCTCCAGTGCTCTGCGTGAAGCTGCGATGTGACCCTGAGGAAAATGAAATCGATGCTACCTGATCAAATATGTTCGTCACCACAGCAGCATCTAAATTCCCAAGGCGAACGCACACCTCATGCTCGCAGTATTGCAGCAGATCCGTCCAGCTGGTGAAGTCTTGGGGATTGTCGTGCGCGGCCTTCCACAGGCGTTCAAAATCTGCAGGTAGTCCTCCCTCTGCCTCGTACTCCGCAGCGTGATCCACGGAGAGGGAAGCGGGATCAGGAGGACCTGCAGGAGCCTCAGGAGCCGCAGCTGCGCTGCCGTTCTCCTCGGACATCTCAGGCGGAGGCGACTGTGGAACCTCAGAGACACTCACCGCTTTAAAAAAAATTAAAGGTTTGATTGAAACGAAACAAATGGAAATATTATACAAACAAGTCATTGTGGTTATAAATAAACAAATCAGAGTTTAGCAGGGAGCGTGTGAAGAGAGGCTCTGTTAAGAGACACTACCAACTCACTACCAAACACTGAAAAAATGTCTTGTTGATTCATGCCTGTCTACACTAAATTGTATTATTGTATTGTCTTTATTTATAGTGGTAATGTTTTTTTTTTCTTATTGTGTTAGGATCTGTTTAGTCCAATTTATTGTCCTCATTGCATTTAGGTTGTATTTGTATTTTTATATTTTATTGTTTTTTAAACATCATGGCCAGGGAACTTCAGAGGAATGACAACTTTTTGGCCAATTCTGGCTTTAACTTGTGAATTGTCATGTGTTTAGTTACACTGTACTGTCCCCCTTCAAATAAATAAATCAAAAAGGTTAATATTTGTTGGTATAACTGAGAGTCTTTTGCCTCTTTTAACTATGGAGGACACATAATAGAACATTTAGCTTATTTTATTTTTTACACTTACAAACTAATCAACACACTAATGAACTACTGAATGATAGTGCACAGGTACAGCAAAAAGTACACAATGGCTTTTTTCTTAACATACTCATTATTCCATGAGATTAAGTTTAAATTTTTATGCAAAACTCACTGCATATTTCACTTTATTAAAAAACATATTGCAATATGCGTACCTCATTAAAGGCATCATTGAAATACAAAAACACAGCTCCTGAAATGTGTGTGTGTGTATATACAAGAACAGTTCCGTCATTAATACGAGTTAAAGCAGTGAGAAACACTACCAGCTCTGCTACTCTCGGTTGTGTATTTTAGCTTAGCCTAGCTTCTCCAGGTTTTATCTAAGAATTATTACCAAAACGTGGATTTATTTTAAATACCAGCAACACAGACCTGAGCACAGTTATGCGTGTAAAAGTACAACCAACTCTGGACTGTATAGTCTAAATGTAAAGATACCTGAAGCCTCTTCCAGTTCTCCATTGCCGCTCATCTCCTCAGAGCCCTCCGCCGCCATGATGGACGGGGAAAAAAGATAATTATGAATTGATGACATCATCAGAGAGCGACAAAACATACCGGGTAAAAATAACTCATTAAAAATACTTCACGTTTTCTTCGTCAGTGTAGAAGCTGTACTTGTAGTAGTGTTTTATTATTAATAATATTTTGTAAATAATGAGTTGTGATAGAAACTCTGGATAGAATTGCTTTACTTTTTTTTTTTTGCCAAAATCATCATTAAAACAATAAAAGGCTTGAACTGCTTCAGTTGGTGTGCAATGAATCTAAAATATATGAAAGTTTAATGTTTATCAGTACATTACAGAAAATAATTAACTTTATCACAATATGGTAATTTTTTGAGGACCTGTATATTAGCTGGGTTTGAATAATTAATATCCTTTGACATAAATCCTTTATGTTGGCAAATGTATTTGTAAAGATATAGATATTCACACAAGTGTCTTTCTTTCTTAAAACATATTCAACTTATTTGAGCAATAAGTCATCCAAAAAATGGTTATGTGAATAACATCCACTCCTTAAAAAAAGCATCTTAAAAGTTTTACATTAAAAAAGTTGAGTCAAAAACAGATTTTCTTCACATTTGGTCAACTTTATTTTCACTTGGTCTCATCTGTTAGAGTACATCAAACAGTTTTGACAGCTGAAGTGCAATTTATTACTTCCCCTTCCATCAGTTCAAGCTATCAACAAAAATGCAGCAACTTGTACATTTTATGACCCTAAAAACAAATAACCTCCCAAAACAGAACCCCAAACAAAAATCTGATGATTTGATGCAATATCAGAGACTAATTTGTGTCTGTGACTGACCCCAGCACGTTTAGAGTAGATATTTTTGTAGAACTGAGCTTTAACCGGTTATTTTTTCGTTGGAACACTTCAAGAATGGAACATCTATGAATATCTAATAGTACATAAACCTAAAGAAAAGTCTAAACTTTCCACGGGAGCATTAAAAAAAAGTCTGGTCAACCCAAGTTGGAAAAATGTGATAAAAACACATCAAAAAGAACAATCCAGGTTCAAGTCTTCCTATGTGATTCACCAAGTCAGTTTTGTTCATATCAGCTTAAAACCCTTCCTGTACAGCTGCTGAACGACAGAAACACTTCAGAAAAGGGAAGCAGTGATTAGAAATATCTTCCATTCACACAAACTCACTAAAAACTAAAATCAGGGACAGGCCTAATACAAAAAAATGGCATGGAGTGGTAAACAAAGATCTATTCTTGTGGCATTAGAAAAATTACAAACTATTCAAAATAAATCAGTCTTGAAATTATTAGTGGCACGAGAAGGATGGCTGTTCTTACAGTTGATTTAAGGACTTGGCCTTTAAAAGAAGGGAATGATAAGAGATTTTTAAAGGAATTGACAGCCGGTGGGTCTGAATGTGATACTTCATTTTGAATTCCAAACTCTTGAGAGTGAGGGATTCTCCTGAGGCAGAATGTCTTTAAAACCACGCAGAGAACTGAATAACCCAACCCCCCAACCCAAATATCTGTGAAAATGACTGACGGTATCTATCTAGCAGTAACCTTGTTGTGACTGGACATAAAAAGGAACTGAGCAGACTTCAGCTGGGATTTTACTGCAGCTAATATGATTTTACAGATTAGTCATCATGTTTTTCTGTTCTAGTTAGTCTTGAACGTTAGGGGCTTGTGTCTATTCCCTCATCTCGCTCGCTCTCCTTTTTTTCAGTTTAGTTTAAAGTTACTTTATTTTTCTTCTGGTTTCTGTGGTTATTTAAGGGCGATGCTCCACTCCTCCCCTGCGTTCATGCCGGGCTTGCGGATGGTCAAAACTGACATGGAGGGATCAAACTCAAAGTCTAGCTGGCTCTCCTCACCACCTGCCAAAAAGAAAAACATTAATATTCACACAGAAAACAGAAACAAAGACTTTTAATGTACTTATGGTGACCTAACTTCCACTAATATTTTCTTCCATTTCATTTAAATGCTAATAAATAGTTACATTAATGCATTATTGCTGCTTTGACTTATTGGTGTCTTGATGAAATGAGGACTTTAATAAATCAGTTATAAACATCTATAAAAAAAAAGGGCATCTGATAAAAAGGCAGCTGTTATTAAAACACATGAGTTCCTTTTACTTTGTTAAACAAACCTGATTAAAGTGTTTAATCAGAAAATGACGTAATGATCAGATCTGGATTGGCTGGAACTAACAGATGTTAGTAATTGTTGGTTGATGATAATATACATTGCTGTTTTTTTTTGTACTCATTTAATCTCTCTCGTTTGTTTGTTTTTTCCTTGCTGTAACATTAATTGCCCTTTGGAACTCAAATAACCCTGACCTTAACTGAACAGCTCATGTTTTTGTTTGCGGGGGCGACACTCGTATTGGCATCAAAAGGAGCGCAGTGAGCGCCTGAGAGAACCGAGGCTAACCAAACTACTGACAACGACAGATTTATTGACTCGTTTTAGTTTGTGTACAAGTTAATTTAAAAATTCTGCTGAAATTATTACTTTATAAATTGAACCTCTTACTTTCAGTTGAACAAGTCAGCAAAAAAATCTGTAAATATCGAAGTGTTCTGTTATTTATTTGTTTCTTTTAAAGAGAATGGGTTTGTGGTCTCCAACAGCAGCACAACATAAGAAGTATTGGTGTCCAGATACTGATACTGGTATTGAGCCTGATACTGACCTTTTTACAAAAACTCACAAAATGCTCCAAAACCGATACTAATATCAATACTGGGATACTACTACTGATACTCCATGGAATATGTTACAGTAAAAAGCTTGTCCGATCCATGTTTAATAAGATTATAGAAGTTAAATTGTAAATCTTGTTTATCTTTGGAGCATTGGTGAGTCTGCTCAACTCTGGTAAAATATAAATACACATCAAGGGTAATATTTCTGATATCCTGAACATATCAAAACTGCTGCTATTTAGTTTCTATTTTATTCTTCTATTTAAACTTTAATTCTTTTACTTCACTGTATATATTTTTGTGGTTACTTATTTACTGTTTTTGCGAATTCTGTTATTTTGCACTGCCTTTGAGAGCTGCTCATCTGTAAATTTCGTTTTGCTGCTTTGTACAATGACAATAAAAGGAATTCTAATTCTTTATTTTAAAATGTTTCAACAGTATATATCATGCTGTATATTTCATTTAATTGAGTCTAAGGAAGGAGAGCCACCTTGTTCTAAATAAAATAAATGTGAAGTCATTGTGTAATGTTTAAGTTCTAATCAATCAACTTTATTTATAGAGCACACTTTAAAAACCACAAGGACAAAGTGCTGTAGAGTAAGACACAAGCTAAGATAATCACAGAAACATAAAACACAGTTAGTACAAAAACAACTGGTATCAGGACACCTGTAATAAGAAGTGCAGTAGTTTTTCACTCACCAGCAGTCCTAAGAGTAATCTTACTGGGTTTACTGGCTCCCAGTACGATAATGCGCTCGACCCAAGACTTTGTTGTAAACTTGGCATCAGGTGCGATGTTACTGTGGAACAAACAGAGGCACAATTTAAACATTAACTCTAGTTTGAAGGAACGTGTACTTTAATTCAAGGAATAAAACTATGGAATAATTTGGGGAGTGATGTAAAAAACGCAGGATCGTACTTTGTACACAAACCTGTCTTGTATTGTCGGATATATGAATACAAAATGTATTTATGTTTTGTTAGTAGATCCAGTATAGGTGGGGAGGGATGGGAGGGTTCTCAGGGGTGTGTGTTTTTGTTAAAAAAACTTTACAAAAAAAAACGCAGGATCATTATGTACATTTAAGAAAATGATAAAAGTTGGATTGTTAAAAGAATACGAAACAGTTTAATGTGTATCTATATAAATTTTTCTAGAGGGATTAGATGTTCTTTTCTTTTGTTTTGTTAATAACAGGTTTTTTTGTTATAGGAACTTATTCTTGGGAAAAAAGGGGCAGATATAAGATTTTTTTCTTCTTTCTGCTGCCTTTATTTCATTTTATTTTGTGATTTTGATGTACATATATATATTTTTTTCTTTTTGTATTTTTCTTTTTATTGTAAATTGTACATAAAAATGTTTGTTTTGTTTTAATGAAATTAATAAAAAAAATTGAATTGAATTGAATTGAAACATTAACTCTGCAGAAAATAAGGTTGTTCAGTATCTCCAGATTATCTTATTCTGTGCTCATCTGAGCTGCTCTGACATTTCTCAGAACCCATTTCAGACAGAACCAGGCGACACTCACACAGAGGAGAGGACGTTGTTGGCAAAGGAGAACCTCCGGTGGATGAATTCCTTCTTTTCGTAGTTGAAGGTGTGGCCGTCGTCGATGTAGAGCTCACCCTCTGCGGTTCTCTGTTAACCACAGAATATTAGGATCATGCCTCTTTGTCAGGCGTCAGTGGCTCTGCCGTGTCTTAACAGTAGACTGTGCACGGTTTAATTACCTGAGGGTTAAGAGCCACAAAGAGGGTGTAAGGGTCGTGCTCCATGCAGGAGGAGGATCGACGAACTCGGAGCTTCCGGGGAATGATGGAGCCGCCGCGCTGGAACACTGGAATCTTATAAGAGAAACAAACCATCACACTCAGGGAAACTATGTTTCAAATTTTAACAAAGCTTTAAAAACCGGCCTTACAGAGCTCATGGTGACGGGGATGTAAAGGTTTTGGGCCCCATTGTGCTTGTGGAAAGTGTGGATGTCGTACCAGAACTGCGAAACACAAACACAGGTTAAGACGCTGCCGCCTGTCGGAAACTTTCGACGTGTTTTAAAGCTAAAGCTTCACCTCGTCTTTTCCAGGCAGGTAGGCAGTGACGCCCCGGGATCCCTCGTCAGTAACGGGGTGCACCAACAAGTCTCGTCCTGCGCAGAACAGATCAGTTTACGAGAGATTCTTTTTAAATTAATACAAAATATTATTTTATCTTGGTTGGTTCTTATTCCTCAGCTGCTACAGAGTCAATATGTTATCAGTAGCTGTAACATTTTTTAGTCAGCTGTTGATCACAAGGTGGCAGAAAAACAAGCCCAGCACATGGATGCACTCAGAGTTCATGAGGTAAATTTAGTTCTACAGATCCAGATATGTTCAGCTAACAGGAACTGATGGTTTATTTTCAGCTGAGTCGGTTCATAAACTTGTTTTATTCCTACCTTCATGAACTGCTGCCTGCTGGAAAATAACAAAACAACAAATACAAAGGAGCAAAAGATGCAGCTGGTGTTCCTCTAACCCTTTCAGTGGGTACATTTTTTAACTGGATTCATAAATTGATCTTGTGATCAAGATGTCTGCGCCCACAATAAAAACACATTTCAGAGTTCAGTGTCTCACCGATCAGAAACTCATCATCCACAGCAAAAGTAGCAGGATCTTGAGGATACTCCACCCACAGCGGTCTGCAACAGACACACAAGTTGTTAGTAAAAGCACTGGAACAGTACATTTCATTACAAATAAATGGGAGGAAACTGCTGTTTAACAAGTTGTGGTTTGAAAATAAATCATTGAAAACAAAGCATTTTTACTCAAACAAATAAACCTCAGTCTGAGAGCAAAGCTGTGCCCCACCTCCCTCGTCCTCACCTCATGACGGGCTCTCCGGTGCGGTAGGCGTTGTAGAACAGCTGGTACCAATAGGGCAGGAACGTGTAGCGCTGACGCACCACGTCGCGGATCAGAGCCAAGTTTTCAGGACCGAACAGCCACGGCTCACGACGGGGGGTGTCCAGGTGGGCGTGGGCCCTGAAGAACGGCTGGTAAGCCCCCGTCTGGTACCAGCGCACCAACAGCTCGGGGCTCGGAGACTTGAAGAAACCGCCGACGTCGGCTACGAGACAGAGACGGGTCAGCTGTTAAGGAGGACGGTAGCTTCGCTACGTTCTGGATGGACAGTCGCCTTGTTTTAAAAATTTATATCATCTAATTCTGGATAAAGACTGAACGACAAGAAGGTTATAAACATCAGCTTCATGTTCTGAAACAGCAGACGAGAGGCTTCTTTCAGTTTGTTTTGTTTGCTTCTTATTATATTATGGTTAAATTTAAGCTCCATGAGGTTTAAAAATATATATATATTTTTAAATAAAATATCATGTTTGAATTACAGATATAGAAACTTATTTTAAAAAACATTTTTGGTACATAAGATGAGTAGATTTTCTCAATTGGAAAACATTTTCAATGCGGGTTTCAAGGGTTTGTCATTTTTTTACATAAAAGCCACAAGAAAAGTAATCCTCCTGCTGCCCCAGGGTCAAAATGACCCACGAGGCCTAAGTTTTAAAACTCAAGTAAAAAAAAGCCAACAGATAATTTTAATCAAGTTAACAAATATCAGTTGTTCTGAATGCTAAAACAAAGATGATGGCCAGAAAGACAAACTAAGATGATCAATCTCACCACCACAGAAAGAGATCCCAACCAGACCCAGACTCAGACACATGGGGATGGAAATCTTTAGATGGTCCCATTCAGCAGCATTATCTCCAGTCCAAACAGCACCTGGACGGAGAAAACATTTAACAGCGCTTTAAAAGAGCAACTAACAAAAAAATTTAAAAGTTTAAAAACGAGCATGATTTTATGGACGACACTGATATTACTGAGTAAGAGAACATCAGAAGGCCTCACCGTAGCGCTGTGAACCAGCGAAGAACGCTCTGGTCAGGACAAACGGTCGCTCGACTCCACCTGACCTCTGGATCAAACCATCTGCTGTGGCCATTTGCTGCAGGCAAACATATATACAAGCGCTCTAAAATGCAATGTTTGGCTTACAATTTCAATTTACCCATCATTAAATAAATTAATTAAAAAACAACCAAGACAAAGTCTTCAGAACTCAAAACACATCTAAGTATCAAAATGAATGAACATAATAAGCTGCACTTCCACAGTTCCCACTCACCACGTAGAGGCCGTACAGGTTGTGGACATCCCGGTGTTCCCAGGATCCGTGCACAGCATCTTTGTGCATGGTGACCTCAGGCCCGTTGAAGACCGACGGCTCGTTCATGTCGTTCCACGTGTAAAGGTTCTCCATGGATCCCTGCAGAGGAGGTTTGATATCACGACAGCAGACAGATTATTACAAATGATGTGCCGTTTTAAGAAACAGAACAAAAGACTGAATGAAATCTGGATGGATGAAACTTGTAAACGATTAAAATGGAGAAAACACGCATGAATGGAATCTAAAGACCCACCTCGTACTGATCATAGGCGAACATGCTGGCCCACCAGGCCCGCATGTCAGCTCGGGTGAAGTCTGGATAACCAGCACTACCTAAGATCCATCCAGGAAGAGGAAATAAAGACTGTAAGACACTAAGGAACTCTCCACCAGAACCTTCTCAGCTCTACAAAGTCAAAGCAGAACATTTTCTGGTGAATGGTTTAAGGTGGGCCGTCTCTTACCAGGCCAGCACCAGCCCTCGTAGTCTCCACCGTCTTTATTTTTGACGTAGAAACCTCGAGAGCGGATTTCGTTGTGGATCTTGTAGTTGTTGTCTATTTTGATGTGAGGGTCCACGATAGCAACCATCTAGAATGAACGAATAAAAATAAGTCACAGGTAGAAGGTTTGGTTTTCTTAATATTCAGTATAAAACCACTTGAATTGAGGGTGTGATGGTGGGCTTTATGTCATGCGCACCTTGCGTTTCTTGTCCATGAGACCCTGCAGCATGTCCTTTGGTGTCGCAAACTTGTGAGGATCCCAGGTGAAGTAGCGCTTCCCGTCCGTGTGCTCGATATCCAGCCAAATGAAGTCATAGGGGATGTCGTGCTCATCGAAGCCCGCGTCCACCGAGCGCACGTCCTCCTGGTCGTTGTAGTTCCAACGGCACTGGTGGTACCCGAGGGACGACAGAGGAGGGAAGGACTGAGTGCCTGATGGACAGATTGGAGATGTCAGGAGGAGGTTGAGACAAGCGGTCAACAGTAAGCTGATTAACGGTTTGTCAATAAAAGAATCTGCTTCAAGTTTAAACTTAGTTTAGGATCATCAATAATTATTATATTATATTATAT